GGCTTTTATTTTATTTTTTTTATGCTTATTTACTCTACACCCAATGTGGGCCTCGAACTCATGACCCCGAGATCAAGAGTCACATGCCAATGAACTGAGCCAGCCAGTGTTGGCTTTTATTATTATTATTACTATTATTACTATTACTATTACTATTATTGTTATTTAATGTCGGCTTTTATAATTATTGTCAGGCCTACCATCATCTCAGGACGGGGACACAGCTGGGTGTGCCCATCTTTTCCGGTTCCTTCTCCTCTGTTCTGTGGTTGTCTGACCCTCTACTTGGGTCTCTCCCTGGTGCTGAGTCATGCTGTTAGTCTCTGCTTTCTGGCAGTGCTCCTGGTATGACCCGACCTGGGGGGGGATGGGCGAGGGAGACATGTCACTCTGGAGTCAGACATCCTGAATCCCAGTCATGACGCCATCACTGAGCAAACTACCATGTCTCCGAGCCTTACTTTCCTCCCCTATATTACCAGGACAACTGTATTTATTTGACAAGCCTGCCATGAAGATCAGACAAGACAGCACAAGGGCAGCAGGCCTGCATAGACACTCAGTAAATGGTATCTATTTTTTTTTTTTTTGCAAGGCTTTATTGAACATCTGGGGAGTGTAGCCTGGCCTTGTAGCTGGTGGGGACTAAGAGACAGACACGAGACAGATGATGACTCTCATGATAAACACTGGGCCCCTTGCAACAAGAGCATGGAGACGAGACTCCAACTCTGCTACCAACTGGGGAAGGGGGCTTGGCTAGGGAAAGAGGGCTCTGGGAGCCTCGAGGGTGCACAGAGCAAGACTGGAAAGGGAGTCCCAGACTGAAGGTACAGCATGAGTAAAAGCAGGGAGGCAGGAAGGAGTCTGATGAATTGGTGAGTTCAGGTCGTTGGGTGAAGCTGCAATGCGGGTGTCATAGGCGGGTCACAGAGGGCCTTATAAGCCGCCAGTGAAAACTGAACTTTCCCGGGAGGAAATGAGGAGCCAGGGAAGGGCTCCCACAGGAAGTGATGATCAGATTTTCATTTCAGAAAGGCTTTTTCTGGCTGCCCCGTGGAGCCTCCTGGGAGGCAGTAGGAATGGGCACAGGGAGACTGACTCATGGACACCTTTCTAATAATCCAAGCAAGAGATGACGGATTATGGCAGCCAAAGGATGGAGGATGGAGTCTACAGGGATCTAGAGAGAAAACCAGCAAGGGGCAGAACCAGGATCTGAACCCAGGTGGGACCACCTCTTTCGGCTGCTCCGTATGGGCCCACAGGGAGCCTGGGCCTAGTGAACTTCGCCTCAAGCCACCTGCAAATCCACCCTTCACCAGCCAGATTCTGGAGGGGTCCTGTTCACATTTCTGGGGCAGGGAGAGAGACGTACTATCAACACCGCCCCCTGGTGGCTGAGAGCAGAGGTCGCAGACAGCGGAGTGCCACCCCGCCCAAGCCTATGGCGGCCCCCTCCTCTCTAAAGTCACCAAGCCTGAAGCCTGCCCACCCAATGTGCTCATTTAGCACCTGGGCTGTCTGGATAGATGAACCCCTCTTCACATCCTACCTTCCCCCCTTTACGTTGGGTGTCCTGACAAGTCACTTCCTGCCCCAGGCCTCACCCTCCTTGGTAAAGAGGGCGTGATGCTTCCTGCATCAGCTTGGTCCTGGCCCACGGAGAAGAGCCTGGCCCAGTGTCCCATCCCACAGAGAGGTGGCTTCCTCAGACCCAGGCCAGCGCCCCTCTCTGTCCCAGGCTTGCCCTCTCTGGCAGGTGCCCACCTGCCCACACTGACCTTGTCCTCCTCTGAAAGGCAGGGCAGGGGCACTGCTGGCAGCTAACCTGGGTGCTGGCTCCATCCCTGCCATTAGACACTGAGCCTTTGGCCGCGGCACTCCCTCTAACTGAGCCTTGGCATCCTCGCTAGAACCCCCGTCTGTTTCGGGGTGTCACGGAAGGGGTCATACTGTGGCCTGCCAAGCCCTGGAGTGCGGAAGACTTGCTCTAGTGATTGTGAAGCTGTGATTGTCCCACACTGGGGTCCCTTCTGGCCTGGGCTCTTGGAAGGTGAGCTGAACTGACTTAGAGATTTGAGGGGCAGGAGAGCCTTCCCAACTGCCCTCCGAAAACCCTATACATAACCCCCCCCCCCCGCCCCAGCTTATTTCCCTGCTTCCCCTGGAATACTGTTAGGATTCCAGTTAGGAGATGGGCCCTGGGAAAGGCAGGCCCTGCCTCCACGCCTCTGGACAGGGAAGGCCTGGCTATTTCCAATCACCTCATTTTGAGCAAGAGCTTTGATCCATGGCTTCCTGCCAAGCTTTTGCCACTCTTTCTTGACAAACAACAAATCTCTGTTTTGTAACCTCCATTATGAAATAGTCTTATTAACTAATGTACCTAATGTGTACACAGTCATTCACAAAGAAAGAGCAAACATCGGTGACCCATTTCCAGCGTCACCCAAGGGCCCTTCTGGCTTTCCTCTAGCTTCAAACACCCTGTTCTCACTCCATTCCTCTGTCTGGAAGGCTTGCCTACACCTTCAGCTTTCCCTTCAGGGGTCTCTGCCTTTGGCAAAGCACTTCTGATACCCCATCAGGTTGTTTGTTTTTGTTTTTTGCTGGATACTCCCCCAGAATTTGGCTCCTGCCCCGCTGAGCCGCCCACTTGATAATGGCCATGAGAATCACTTCAGCCTCCCTTGGTGCAGGTAAGCTTTCTGCCAGCAGACTGGGGTAAGCCCAGCACCCCGTGTGCCCAGGGCCTGCAGGGCCTGGTGCTGGGCACTCAATAAACTGATGAGTGACTGGAAGGAAGAAACAAACCTCAGGGGAGCCAGCCCCTCTCTGGGCTACTCCCCTCCCTCCCCCCCCCTTTTTTTTTTTGGTAAAGAGGTGATGGTGTCGAGTGAGAGATGGAGTTGTTGAGGACAAGCTCCCTGTCTACCTTGCCGGACAGGACATCTGTCCTCACTTCCCAAGGTGACCACTGTACTCACAGGTTCACACGCAGTACACTCTACCAGCTCTGAGATTCAAGGTCACTGGTGTCCGCACCCTACCCCTGAGCCCTCCATTCCTTGCCACTCCCCAGGCGGCCCATATTTGTGTAAATTAAACCCTTGTACACGGACCAATCTGCTACTTGCAAGGAAACCAGAGAAGGCTGTGCAAACACATTGTGGGAAATTTGCTGTGGGTGGTTGGAAAAGCAAGGATCAGGTTCAAATCCACGAACCCCTTGTTTTTCGGCTGGGGATGTGAGGCTGAAATGAGGCACTGTGAGCTCCCTCATCATGACATGGGGTGGGCCCAGGGAAACCTGACCTGGACGCTTACAGCCGCAGCCAGCCACACCCTCTCTAGCTTGTGCTGCAGGAAGATGGCTCTGAAATGCCCAAGTGCCTCTGGGTCCGCGGAGGGTGGCCACAGCGTGCCGTAGGATGGTGGTGGGAGAGCCCGTTGCAGTGGGGAGGCAGGAGCACCCCTTGGACACAAGCACGTCATATGATTTTCACCCAGCAGCCCTGGGCTCTCTCCTTGGTGCTGGCAGGACCAGATTTTTTCTCGTCAAACTCCTCCTACGCTGTTGGATCAGCCATGCCTCCATGCCTTGGCTTTAAATTGTGTTTCTGAGTTCATTGGCTTTCTATAGCAGCAGAGCCTGTTTCAGACTATGTGTGCTGGACCATGGGTGATGCAGCCTGCCACAGGTGGAGGGTCTGGGGCCCCAAGGACATCACGTAGCTCACCTGAAGACCTCTGCCTTCCCAAGCCTCATTGTTTTCTTGCCTGGGAAGAAGAGGCCCTGGGAAATCAGGAAAGCTATTAACTGGAAAAAAATGAAATCACAGAATCTGAGAGCAAGAAAGGGGCCCAAGCCGGCTTCTTGTTTGCAGAGCACCTGGATGTTGGTGTTAGCTGAGGCTTCCTGCCTCTGGTAAATATCTTGGCAGCCACGATGCTAATCCTTTGCACCAAGGACCCCTTTAACAGGGACATCTGACCACTCAGCGGCTGCGCTGGTTCATTCTGGATGCTCATTCAAGCACACGATGATCCTGACTGTGGGATGTGGGAGCCATCACCAGCCATCACCAGCCAGCTACAGAGTCGCATTTGGGGCGGGGTAGTGGGCTGTTGACAGACAACCCTTAGCTGTCCCTCTAGTGAGACACAAAGATGGAAGAAAACTCGACGGTTCTCCAAGAAGCAAATGAGAGTCTAGGATAAGCACGCTGGGACTGGCAGCTCTAACTCAGCACATTCTACTTTATTCCAGCATGTTCCATGGCCCTCCAGCTCTGCTATGGTCCTGGTCCTTCCTCAGAGCCAAAAAGAACCCAAGCTGAATATCAGCTGGATCATGGCAGGTGGTGAGAGGGAGGCCAGGGTCACTGAGAATTCTGATAGACTCAGTCTTCACCCATCTAACTCTGGGTGACCGGGATTGGCTCGTCCTCGCCATGGTTATCCCTGCTGGGCCTCATGCTCCATTCCTGATCTTCCCTCCAAAGGCAGGAGGGCAAGTCTAAAGGGCCTTGGTGCCCTCCCAGAACCAAGACCCTCCACTTTATCACTTAGCTGGCTCCATCCTTTCACCAGGCCACCTCCAGCTGCCCCTATCCCCACCCACTGAGTCCCCAGGTACAGAGACAGGGGCGTCCTTGCTCTTTCAGATTTGATGCTTTGCTCTCCCTGCATGGCCCGGGGCACAGGCACATGCTCCCAGGCCAGATTGCTAGGTGTTGGTGAGTCCCGGGACTAGTGTCCTTGGTCTCCGCAAACAGGGGATCAGGAGCCTGTCTGAATCCTCAGTGTGGCCGATGGACTGGGTGTCCCCTTCCTGCTCTGCCCCTGTGCCTGGGAGGGCAGGGACAGGGAGGGAGTGCTATGGGGTTGAAAAGCACAGGCACAGAGGCAGCCTGGGTCTTCACTGCGCTGGGGATGGTCTCCTCGCCTAGAGACCCTGAAGCTTCTCCTCGGAGGCCTTGTCTGGGAGCAGCACCTCCACAGTGTAGCTGACCTTCTTGGCGTGCATCAGGCTATAGGTGTTGTCAAAGTGCAGGATATCTGCAAGGGTGGAGAAGTCATCCCGCAAAGCCAACCTGACATATTTGCATGCGTAGTGCCCTTGGCAAGGGGCCCAGGACTGCAGGTGGTGCCAGAGGGTTGGCCACTGCCCCGCTCCCAGCGCCCACTGCCTAAGCCATCGCCTTGGGCTAATGAAAGGAATAACCACCAGCATCCGGCAGCCCCGTCTATGTGTCAGGCGTCCCATTGGCGCTCCCGGCTTTCCAAACCCTCAAAGCAGCCCCATGGAATACTATCATCCCCATTTTCAGGATAAGGAAGCTGAGGCTACAGAGGTGGAGAGGACTTCCCAATGAGTACAGAGCAAGGAAGGGAAGGACCAGGATTCCCTTATCCTGATGCTCCAACCGAGAGAGGAGCCCTGCTCTCCCCAGGGGAAAGGGCTGAGCTCCACAAGCCGCTTTCCCTTCGTGCCTTTCAAAGAAGGCATTCCCTTCGATGCCAAGGTGCAAAGGGAACTCTGGGATGTGATGAGTCATCCAAATTTCTGGGTTTCCACCTTTCTGATTCTCCCTCTCCACAAAGGTGAACTAGATACGTGTTAACCAGAGCATTAGTAAACCTCATGCTCCTCAACTCTGGGTTTCCCTTCTCCTAGCTCTGTTCCCAAGAGAGGCAGGTCAGTGCTGTCCCTAGGGAGTGCGGCTTCTGGAGAGACAAACTTAATTGCATCTATCTTGGATGGCCTGAGAATGAAGGATAAGCACATGGAGGAATCCTCTCTTTGGGATTCCCACAAGGACCTGCCTATGCCCCTGGGCAGCCGGGGACCCCTAGAGGGTAGCCCACGTTTATTTACCTGTCTCTCAGCCTGTTGAGTGCTGTGTAAGGAGTTCCCAGGAGCTGAGTCTGGGGCTTCAGGCTGTGAATCCCACTCTCTAAAATGCCTCTCTGCCCTGTTACCCATACCCAGGGGCTACTCCCCAGACCTAGCATCCTGAAGCCAGTTCCCCCAGCCGCTACCGGATCTAGTAACTTGCAGAGACTCCCTCCCCCTCCCCGAGAGCAGGAAAAAGAGGGCAAGCGGGACAGCCTAGGCAAGAGGCTCATTTCTCGGCCATAAGGAGGAAGGCGACTCCAGTGAATCCTACAGCTCTTACAGACGCCGGCCTTGAGGCAGGTGAGGCTCCCGTCCTCAGGGACCACATGGGCTTTGCAGCGTTGGATGGGCAACACCTCCACCATGTCCCCTTCCTGCTTCTGCTCACTCATCTTGGTCTTCAGGAAAACCCCAAAGCCGATGTCTGCCCCTTCTGATGCGAACTGCCACCTGCAGGGGACAGGGCCCCACAGATGACCACCTGCCTGGGCTCCAGGCCCCTCCCAGCTGTGCCCAGGGGTGACGTGGCCGCCATCCCTACCTGAGCACACAGCCTGGGAACAGGATTTCGTTCTCCACCTGCATGAAGGAGCCTCTGGCCACAGTCACCGTGTGCTCATATTGTGTCTTCACCTGGTTACGCAGGTAGTAGCTCTTGGGCACATCGCCCCCGTATTTGATCTGTGGGTGAAGGCTGGTGAGCGAGCACTACACCGTGGTCATAACCCCTCATTCCCCATCCTCTGAGCACCCTGTACCTTGGTCAGGCACTTGGGGTTGCCATCAGGGTCAGTCATGGTCCCCCCAAACTCCACGGGCAGCTGGTCAGGGCTGACGAACTTTGGCAGCTCCTGCTTCCAGTTGCCTGGGGGGGGAGCAAGGTGGTGGCGGGCAGTAGGGGACAATGGGGGGCTCAGGGAGGCTCAACAGAGGGCAGAGAGGCCACACCCAGGGAGGAAAGCTGATGTTCCCTTAGCTCACTCCTCTGAGCCCCTACTCCTAAAAGCACCCAAATGCTTTATGTGGCCACCCAGGCTGGGGTCCAGGACCTGAAGCTTCATTAGAGTGTGCAAAGGTGGGTGTGAATTCAGGCCAAGGTCAGTGCCTGATTAAAGAGGATGAGGCAGGGAGAAATGGGACCTTTCACATTGACCTCTGTTTGCCCAGGCAGAGATGGGCACAGCCAGGAGACCAAGTCACTCACCTCCCAGAATCACTATCTTCCTTTGCGTTTCCTTACTCATGAAAAATTTGACCAAGTTGAAGGCCACGGGGAACAGCTTGGGGGCTGAAACACATGAAACTCCCTTGGGAAGCTGTCTAGAGAGGACTAGAGGTATAGTCACGGCCAGGGCCCTGGGCTGAATTGGATTGATCTAGACTCTACTACTGCCTGCTGTGTGACCATCAGCTAGTTACTCACCCTCTCTGAGTCTTAGTGCTGTTAACTATAAAATGGAGATAAATTAAACTATGTATGCATAACACATGACAGAGTGCCTGGCTCTCAATAAATGGTTGCCTCCCCCACCCAGTTGTAGGGTGTCAGTAATGTAGATTTCCCAATAGTGCCTCTTCCTGTCCACACTCACACGTTTCCCAAGTTGCCTCGGAATTTTCTTGGGTGCAAGTAGATGGAGCATCTGCATTTGACCTCACGTCCCACCTGAACTGCTCACACTGACTGGACACTTTCTGTGGGCTGCTCCTCCACAGACTGTCTCATTTAACCTCATGGCTGTCTTACGGGATGTTGTCATTGCATCCCTATTTTACAGACTGGAAAAACTGAGGCTTAGTAAGGTTAAGTAGACTTGCTCACAATCACAGAGCTAGTCAAATTGGAAAGCAGATCATTTGACCCCAGAGCACACATGCTGGGCCCCTCACTGTACAACCGTCACAGAGAGGGACCATTCCCACTCCAAACATATCTACCAGCCAGTGTGGTCCTTGAACGATCTGTTACCATTCCACACTGAGAAAAATAAAGAAAACACCCATTTACATTTAGAAACTTAGAACTTATTTGACATTTGCTGCAACCTATCAGAGCAGATTCTATATACTCCGAAAGTATCAGTCTATGAAGGACTGACTAAAAAAACAAAAAAACAAACAAAAACCCCCTGATCTTCACAAAGGATGGTTTGAGAAACCTAAACTGGGTGATTTACCCACTGATTCCCCCCTTTCCCTTCTCCTCCCCCAGGGGTCATCCCCATCATGGACTCACCACGAATGACAATTAAATTCTTTATCGTCTCAGGATAATTTGCTTCCAGGATGGCAAAAAACTGTGGCAAGACAAGTCTGGTCAAGGTCATGCTTCAACACATTCTATACCTGGATTTGGTGGCCTTTAATGCTGTTGAGACAGGAGACCCTGCCACCGCCACACCCTGGCCACCCACCTTCCCCAGGAGATATCTTCATCCCCTGTAATACTCATGCTCCTCTTTGTCCTTGGAAGTGGGGGACCCCAGACCCTCACTGGCTGCTCTGGGGGCCCCTGCGGTGGGGGGGTTATCCCTCCTCCATGGACTGGAAGCTGGTGTGGACAGCCCAGCTCCCTATTGGCCTGGAGCCAGCTGCCTACCTCACCTGCTGGTAGACCTCTACAGCTGGTTTCCACAGGTGTTTCAGGCTGAGCCCCTCCATGTCAAACACCATCAGCACCGTCTCAATCTTCCTGCCCAACTACATGGGACGACACAGAGATAAAAGACAACTCTGGCCAGAAGGTCCCGGCCAGGGAGACCCTGTACAGCTTCCACCTTCCTGCTACCCCTGCCCGCAACTGCCCACAGTGTTTTTCAAACAGATTGAGCCCACCTAGGGGCTAAGAAAATGCTGCATTCTGAGCTCTGGCACAGTGGTTCCTTATCACACTGTTTGCTCAACACGAATGCCTGGAATTAGTTAACAGTAGAATTAAAGACCTCATTCGTTGCCCATCGGGCCTCTCCCTGAACAACAGTACGCCGGGTCAGCCAGCGTCTGTAGTCCCAAGGTGTGTCAAACCAGAGCTATACTGCTGGTAGGTTCTGTAGCCTTGGGTGGGTTTTTAACTGTTCTGAGCCTTATTTTCTCCTTCTGGGAAGTGGGAATAATTCCACGTTCTGAAAGAATTTCTAGGACAATTCAGTGAGATAACTCCCAAAGAGCCCAGGGCCTGACACATGCTTTTGCCCGGTTAATGTCACAGATCTCTGTGCCAAGGGCTCCTTGGTGTCCAGCACCATGACAGACACTGGAGACACAAGTCCTGTCCTCGCCATCAGGCAGGTCATCCCGAAGTAACATAGGAGCTCCCCCACCCAGGGTCCTCTTAGGCTCATGGAGACACTTAGACTCACAAAGCCAACAGACCACACTTGGCAATAGATTCGTTCTGAAGGGTATGGACCAGGAAGTACAGAGTCAGGGCAAAGAGAAGATCTGTACAGACTGGTGTGGGTCCTCCTGACTTGGAAGCCCTATGCCCCACAGGACTCAATTTTTTGTTTCTTTGGTAGCAATTCCATATTAGCTTCTAGGGACCCACGGCAATGTGCCAAGTCTCAAGAGTCACTAGCCCACAGCAATGGCTCCTCCATCATGTTATAGTTACACAGTTTCCAACTAGGCACATCTTTTCCATAAGCAAAGCTGACCAACCACTGTTCCCAGGGTTCTCAGGGAACAAAGCCAGAGTGTTCACTGCACTCAAGGTCAACCTCTCATCCAAGGTCAGAGGGGAAGGGCCTTTGGTGATCCTTGGCACGTGCCAGCAGCGAGTGCCACACACACATTAGATACTCACAGATGGGTGACTGCGAGGGAAGCCACGTCCCACCAAAGCCCAGAGTGCTGAGGCCTGGGGAGATGCAGAGGCAGTATGCCTCTCCTACCTGGTCTTGGTGCCTCCCATTAGACAGATCAGGCCCTCCATGTGCTTCCCATCCTGGACCCAGTCACTTACCTTCTGACTCTGCAGCTCACACTCCCGCAAAAGCAGCTCACAGACCCTGATGCGCTTCCGGATAAGCTCCTGCTTGGAGGCTGACAGGAGAAGACCCTTGGGGTCAAGGTTCCCAATGATGTCGAACCACACGGGGCAGCCTTCGTAGTCATAGCCACTCAGACCACCAGAGTCGTACAGTTGGATCACCTGGGCACGGGGTTGGGGGTGGGTGTGAGGTCCTGACTCAAACCAGCCTATCAGCCATCAGAAGGCTGGATGTTGGGGAAGGGGTATGAGGGGTATCTGATGGTCTTGGGGGGGATGCTGCATGAGGCTCACCTCTGAGGGCTTCCACGAAAGGATGTTGTCCAGGTCCTGTTGCTTTCTGAACTCCATGTGCTATGGAGAAATGGCGGGACCTGAAGACTGCCTACCACAAAGGCCTTGAATACAGCTGTGGGTATTAGGCGAGGTCCCTCTGCCTACAGCCCCCAAGACCCCAGGCTCTACTGACCTAGAACTGGAGATGGCAATGCCAGGAAGAGGGCTGTGGGGGATCCAGATCTGATGCAGAAAGGGATCAAAGGAGGAAGGGAGGAAACACGCAAGAACAGGACAGGGCATGGGTTCCTATTCTCTTTGTTACTGATCCCTGGGGTCCAGTGTGTGGGAGGCAGGAGACTCATGAGAATGGGGCCTCACCTTCCGGAGCATGTCCTCAGATTTCTGCAGGTCAAAGTTCTGAGCTGCAAAAAGAGCCAAGGTAAGAGAAAGCTTGAGGCTGGGTCTAGAACTCACAGTTCTTTGAAGACTCAGGAGGAAACACGGAGCCTGAGCCTTCCATGACACACCAGAATATATTGGGGGGTCTGGACATATTTTTACCATTTTATTTTTTAAAAAGATATGTATTTATTTATTTTGGAGAAAGAAAGAGAGAGAGGGAAAGAGAGGGAGCACGGGGGTGGGGGGGTGAGGGAGAGAGAGAGACTCTCAAGCAGACTCCCCACTATCTCAAAACCCCGATTGTGACCTGAGCTGAAGTCAAGAGTTGGCCTCCCAACCAACTAACTAAGCCACCCAGGCACCTCCGGACGTTTTTAAAAAGCAAGGATCTTTGGGACGCCTGGGTGGCTCAGTTGGTTAAGCGGCTGCCTTCGGCTCAGGTCATGATCCCAGTGTCCTGGGATCGGGTCCCACATCGGGCTCCTTGCTCGGCAGGGAGCCTGCTTCTCCCTCTGCCTCCATCTTCCTGTTCTCTCTCGCTCGCCCTCTCTCTCTCTCTCTCTAACAAATAAGTAAATAAAATCTTTAAAAAAAAATAAAATAAAAAGCAAGGATCTTTAATCCTCTAGAAGACTTTGGAAGTCCTTGATTTCAGTATCCAAGCCTTTGTAAACTTTTCGGCCCAGAGGCTGATCTGGCCTGTAATATTTGATGTCCCCGTAGTCACACAAACCCCCTCGGTGTTAGGGGTAGTGAGGAGCATAGGCTTTGGAGTCAAACAGACTTGGGTTTGAATTTTAGTTTTGTCCTTTTAGTTGCTGTGCAACTTTGAGCAATTCACCTACCTTCTCTAAGTCTTAGTTTCTTAATCTGTCAAACAGGAATAATATCTTCTGGTTCCCAAGAACTTCTTAGTAAATTGTTAACTATTGTTGTGGTTACTTATTTTGAAGATATAAGTTCACTTTAATTAAAAATGTGATGCTTTATTTTAGAAATGAATGTTCTAAACTTGGAAAAAAAATTTAACTCTTCCTTTCTAGTCTCTATAGACTAGATTACTTTTTTCTTTCCTTATAATGTTGGCAAGGATCTCTAGTTCTGTTTAAACTATGACGCTGCTTGACATCATCCTTTCCTTGTTCCTGACTTTAAAGAAAATGCATCTAAAACTTCTTAACTGGCAACACGTATTGTAAGGTGTTTGTTGCATAACCATTAACAAGCCAAGCCAAGGAAATTTCCTTCGATTTCTAGTTTGCTAAGAAATTTTTATTTTGTTTTTATCTTATAAATAGGAGATGAGCCTTTTCAAATGCTTTTCCTGCATTGAGATAGCCACATACTTTCTCATTTTTAATTCTATAAATGTGTTCAATGACTTTGATAGATTGCCTGATGTTGAATTCTTCCTGCGTACCTAAAATAAACTCCCACTGATCATGCTGTGTAATTTAAATACCTTATTGTATTCTTTTATGTAATGTTTCCCTTAGATTTCCTTACACCTACATTAACAAGTGTAACAAGCCTAGAATTTTCTTTTATTATCCTGACCTAATTTTGCAATCAAACTAACCCAAGCCTCATAAAGTAACTTTCACTTTTTTATATATATTTTAAAGCAGCTCCAACAATTTGTAAAACCAGGTATCAGCTAATCTTAAAACTTTGGGGAAATTCATCTGTAAAGCCACTGGGGTCTGGGTTTTGGAAGGAGGGAAGCTTTTTAGTACCATTTATATGTCTTTAATATTTACTGGTCTTGGAGGTTTCTATCTTCTTCTTGCTGGGTTTTGGCCTTATATGTGTATTCTAAGGAATGCACAGATTTTATTGAGATTTTCAAATTTGTTTGTGCATAACTGTCTATAATGTTCTTTTATTGGCTTCTAAAAAAAATAACTCTGGTGTATAGGAGATTTCCTACTGAGAACCAGGGTGGTTTCTTGTTCTACAGAAAGTGGTTTGGGCACTATTGATGGGCACTCATAGCTTTTTTAGTAGCAGCTACTACGTGCCAGGCTGGAAGTATGGGGCAGGCACGGACCCTGCCATCATGGAGCTGGCATCCGAGTGGCAGAGATACGCAGTCATAGGATGGAAACAAAACAAAACGTGAAGGGACTTGAAGGAAGGTCACGGTGAGCCCTTCTGCATCTGGCCTGAGCCGAGAGACTCCAAGTTCAGCCCCAGAGATCACCCTCCCAGCTGCCCAGGTGTTGAGCTAGTGAGGCAGGGAGGGCAGCTACGGAGGTAAAGTTGAAGGGGACGGGGCTATGTCAGCTGGTCTGCCTCAGCAGAAAGTGGGAGGCATCAGGACACCCTGTCTCCTCTCTCCCAACCTTAGATCCTTCTCCTTTGCCATGACCCAGCAGCCTACAGTGTCTGTGACTTCACTCCTTTCTCAATGACGCACCAGGGACTGGAAAAGTTGGTTTTTAAATCCAGAAAGACTCCAAAGGAGGAGAGAGGTCTGATGGGGCTTCAAGAAATCTACTGTCCTCACTCCTTCTTTAGCCCAGGAGAATTACATGGACATGACTTGTTAAAAGCGTAATGGGGGGCACCTGGGTGGCTCAGTGGATTTAAGCCTCTGCCTTCAGCTTGGGTCATGGTCCCAGGGTCCTGGGATTGAGCCCTGCATCAGACTCTCTGCTCAGCAGGAAGCCTGCTTCCCTCTCTCTCTGTCTCTCTGCCTACCTGTGATCTCTGTCTGTCAAATAAATAAAAATCTTTTTTTTTTTTTTTTAAAGCATAATGGAAGGGACACCTGGGTGGCTCAGTTGGTTAAGCATCTGCCTTCAGCTCAGGTCATGATCCCAGGGTCCTGGGATGGAGTCCCATATGGGCTCCTTGCTCAGCGAGGAACCTGCTCCTCCCTCTGCCTGCTGTTCCCCCTGCTGGCGCATGCGCTCTCTCTCTCTCTCTCTATCTGACAAATAAATAAATAAATAAATAATCTTTAATAAAACACACACACACCAAAAAAAAAAAAAAAAAAAAAAACAGAATAAAACCTGCCACAGCCAAGAGAGCCTAGGGAGATGACAACTAAATGTAACATGGCATCCTGGATATGCTCCTGGAACAGAGGAACTAAGGTGACCTGAACAAAGTAGGGATTTTAGTTAATAATAATGTATCAGCGTTGGTTCATGAATTGTAACAGATGTACCATAGGAATGAAAACGTTCATGATAGGGGAAACTGGGTGCAGTGTGTGTGGGGACTTCCTGTATTACCTTCACAATGCTCTGTAAACCTAAAGCCATTCTAAAAAATAAAGTTTGTAGAAAATAATAATTAATTAAAATAATTAAAAAATAGAATCAAATAGAACAAACAGAACAGAAGGGAGGGCTTCCTCGGTGTAGGCGCTGTGCTTGCCCATGACCTCATGTCTGACTCACAGCATCTGGAAGTTGGGAGACCAATATTGTACCCATTACTCAGAAGAGAAAAGCAAGGCCGAGAGACAATGAGTCCGCTGTCAGCACAGCGGAGTTGGGATTCAATCACAGGTTTGCCCAATTCCAAGGCTGGCATCATCACCTCATTGTGTATGTACTTTCCAGCCTGATTTCAACCTTCTGGTTCAAGTTCAGAATCCTGGTTCAAGTTCAGAATCCATTCCATGGGGTGTGTTGAATTGAAATGAATTCTCCCCGTAGGTTTCTGTTTCTCTAATTTTACACTCCTGTGGCAATTCCTGGAAGAAACTCCTTCTCTACTTTTAATCGCACCCACTTCCTGAAGTGTTTGCTGGGCACCTGCTCAGCAGCCAATTTCCCTCAGGGGACGACACAGCCCTCCCTTCAAGGAACTGCAGATAGACCTGCAGGCAAGTCCTGAAGAGTATATTTGGGACTATCTGACTCCAGGCCTGGCTGGGCCCGTCATCCTGAGAACCTCCCAAGTGTGAACTCTAACCTCACCTCGACCATATGCCCACCAGTGCCAGGTGCTACAGTCTCTCATTTAGTGCTCACAGCAATCCTTGGGGAGGTGTTCCCATCCCATTTACAGATGAAGAAACTGAGGCTCAATGGGGTTTTTGTGCCATGCCAATTTGGAGGGGAACTCAGGTTCTACCCAAAGCAGGATGATTCCAGAGCCTACGTTTCCCACTCGGTAGCACTGTCTCCCAAAGTTGCACCCGCTTTCCTGAACCCCTTCTTCCTTCTCTCCCTTTTTCCCACACCCACCCCCGGTCCTGCCAGCCTCACCTCGGAGCCAGCGCAGGAAAAAGTACTCATCAGCATTGGGCAGGGTGGGCAGCAGGTCCTGGAGGTTGTCCCGGAACTGAGGGGGAGATATAATGGTCAAAGAGGCTCCCGTGACCCCCTGGGCTCCCAACCCCACCACGACACTTTCCGAACTCAGTCTGTCAATCAGTCCTACCCAGGGACTCTGCAGGGTGGGGACCACACAGTTAGCGGCAGCTGCTGACCGCCGCCCGGGAATGGAGCACCCCTCAGCCTGCCATGGCAGGAAGAGTTGGGTCCTTCTCAAATTCTGGGGGTTCTCTTTCTCCCTAAGATCCTCATTCTACAGGACTGAGGTGGGGCCCTGCTTTCTCTATTTTTTTTTTTTTAAAGATTTTTTATTTATTTATTTGACAGAGAGAGATCACAAGTAGACAGAGAGGCAGGCAGAGAGAGAGAGAGAGAGAGGGAAGCAGGCTCCCTGCTGAGCAGAGAGCCCGATGCGGGACTCGATCCCAGGACCCTGAGATCATGACCTGAGCCGAAGGCAGCGGCTTAACCCACTGAGCCACCCAGGCGCCCTGCTTTCTCTATTTTGACAAAGATCCCTGGTGAATCGGATGTAGGCAAATGAGAAGAATTTAGGAACCTTGCCCTTGATACTGTATCTTGAGGGTCTAGATCTGGAAGCAAGTTACTTAACCACTCTGAGCCTCAGTTTCTTAATCTGTGAAGTGGGATAAAGATGAACTTGTGCCAA